AACAGGTAGGTGTCCAACCCCGCGGCTGGCCTCACACTACTTCCATTGATGGGACAATCGAATGAATCTTCCGGTACAACGTAGAAATATACACTACTCTCTCTCTCTCTCTCACACACACACACACACACACACACACACACACGGTCCCCATCCCGATCACATAATGACCTGACGGGGAGGAGGTCGTCCGAGGGGGATGAGGAGGTCGCACAAGAGGGAGGAGGAGGTCTGAGGAGAGGGTAGAGTGGGCCGTCCAAACGGGAGGAGGAAGTTGTGGGAGGAGCAGGAACAGGTCGCACGATGGGGATGAGAGGTTGCAGGAGGTCGTGTGGGAGTGGGAGGAGGGGGTCGCACCGGTGGGAGGAGGAGGTCGCACCAGTGGGAGGAGGTCGAGCTAGGGGGAGGAGTTCGTGCGACCAGGATGGGGCTGTGAGGGAGGAAGAGGAGGTTACGAGGTCGCACCAGAGAGAGAGAGAGAGAGAGAGAGAGAGAGAGAGAGAGAGAGAGAGAGAGAGAGAGAGAGAGAGAGAGAGAGAGAGAGAGAGAGTCTCATGTTTTTTTTGGGGGGGCCCGGCGGTAATTTGCCAAATACCCCCATAAGTTGAGATATATGTCAAAATGTCCCTAAGAGATATGGGCACAGTGGAATGGAATTTTGAGCTTAGATGTTCGTGTTATGCCCCTGTCAGGCGGGTTTGAAAATTCTCTTGGCCTTTTGCATTTTCTGTACGAAAACTTGGCAACTGCCGGGGCATTTTGCTAAGTTGGGCAGCATCCAGTAGGGGTACATTGCAAAGATGGGGTCCAACTGATGGGTGGGGTGTTTCTCAAAATGTTTTTGTCATAGTCCTTCGCCGCAGTGTAGCTGCGGCAGGTCCACTGGTATGCTCATCACACTCTGCTCTTCTGCTTCGCTTGTCACACACACCAAGACGAGAGGCTCTTCCCTGCACGTTGAGCAACAAGCTGTGAGGGTCACGCCAAGCCGAGAGGATCTTCCGCTTCGCCGCCTGTCGCACACGCCAAGCTGTGAGGCTTCGGCTTCGCCGCCTGTCTCACACGCCAAGCCGAAAGGCTCTTCCGCTTCGCCGCCTGTTGCGCACTCCTGTTGCTCTGGGGGGGTTTTCTCGCTGTCACGGAGAAAGATGCCTTTTTCTCAGGGCTTCCACCCACCCCATTTCCCTGGGTCCTGGGCCCTAGGCCAGGGCATTTTGTTCTATGGAACAGAGTTGTCATCAAATTTGGCATCTCATTACTTGTCTCTTATTGGATTCGTAATCTTCGGAGGATTTGGAATTTTAAGGACCTCAGAACATCAACTCACCATGTGCACAAAAGAGTATCTTTCCATGTTCTTCGAGAGATCTCGATATTACGTGCAACAGTCGGGAGAAGGATCCTTCGATCATCTGCGCAACATGCATGAAGTACGATAGCTGGCCAGGTGGGCACGACACAACGTTGTTTCCCTTTTTTATTTCATTTGTAGAAAACCGCAGGCGTAGATGCATTCGGGGACCCGATTATCGTTCCAGTTTTGAAGGATGTCCCGACCCGTATTATAAGGGGTAAGCGAAGAGCAACTAGTTTCTCAAATTTTAATTTTTGCCTTTATGAATTTTCAATTTCCCTTTGGATCTCCCTTTCGAGTAGGACAGGCCAGTATGGCCGACCCATGAAAGGCCTCTCCACACCACTCACTTAGTGTGAAAAACACAAAAATGTGGCTGGCGCATCTGTCCGTGTTCTAGCGGGACGTTCATTCCTATTTCGCACATTTCGAGAGTGGTGTGGCGATTCCCGAAGTCGATTGTTTCCAGGTGCGGACCCCATGAAGTCGGCCGACTTATGGGCACGAGTATTTCGCCGACTCTGTGTACGACCTTGCCGTACCGGTTGTTTGAGAAACCTTGATTCATTATGAATGCATCGGGAGAGAGAAACCTGTCCACATGCATTCGAAATGTTGGCGTTTACGGCGCGGCGTGGCGAGCCCCTACTTCCCGCCTCTGAGCACACGCGTCGGGGTCAAAGGTGCTATGCATCTCTCTCGTAAAAATAAGAACGAAGCGGGAAACTTCAAGAGCAAGAAGGCGCCGTAACAAGGAGTGGTTGTCGAAGGCAATCCCATCGTCGATCCTCTTTATAGCTGAGCCTCCCTAGACAACCGAGTGCCATAGTTCTCGTTGCTTCTTCAACGTTCGCCATCGCCGTTGCCGCTGCCGCTGCCGCGGCTGCTGGCGCTATCGTTGCTGCTGGCGCTATCGCTGCTGCTACCCCTGCCGCTCTTGCTGCCGCTGTTGCTGCCGCTGTTGCTGCTGCTGCCGCTGGCGCTATCGCTGGCGCTATCGCTGCCGCTGTTGCTTTCGCTGTGACTTTGTGCTTCTCCCCTTTTCACTGTTCGCTGTCAGTCCAAGAGAGAGTGGAGTTTGAGAGATTGATATCTGTGCACTTTAGACGTCCTGTCCCTCTTCGTCTCTCTTCCGTAGGTATCAGCTATGGCGGCTGCTGTGTCCGTTGCTACCGCCACTTTGGCGATTCTCCTTCTCCTCGCTCCTTTCTATGTAGCCGCAGAAGTAGACACGAGCGCAGGTGACGCTCTAATCAGCGCCATCACCAATCACTGCTGTCTTAAGAAGTTCTACTACGCCTTACAGATCTCTCGCGTCGARTCTCGTCTGCGTGACAGCGTGAATCAAGGTCCCATCACKGTTTTCGCTCCGACCGATGATAGCTTCATGAAGCTGGATCCCGAGCTGTGGAGGTGCGCTACCACTGGCCAAGGGCCGCTTGACGTTCTGAGTCAGATTATGCTGTACCACTTCGTGACTTCGGGGAACTTCACTGCTGCGGAGGTGGCGACGAAGACACAGCTGACCTCTGCCTCCGGCATGCCCATTGACGTCAAGGACGTTAACGGGAATGTCGTTCTCGAAGGTTACGCGGCAATCACGGGCCCGGACGCTTTGACGTCGCCTAATGCGACTGTGCACCTCATCGGCGAACTTCTTGTGCCGGAGACGATCGTCAGCACCATCCAGAACGTGTGCCGTCCTGGACCTGCATCAGCATCTCTTCCGTCACCTGGCCTGTAAGCTATTTATAACGATGGGTGAGTAATCACTGCAGTCGTGGGAAACACCGTTTTGCTATCTCTGAGGATGGTGACCGATGGAAGAATAGGATTAAATAACTTTGGTGGCTTTGGTTGGAAGATAGCAGTGAAGTTAGTGAGATTTCATGTAGTTTGCCACAGGAATAAGGATCCTGGGTACCATCGAGAGCCTGTGCTTCGCTGAATTCTACACCAGCATCTCGTCCGGCAACAAACCTGGCATGTAAGCTCGTTATAGCGATGGGGCACGTAGGCACGACTGCCGGACGCGACACTGTTTTGCTATCACGGGCGTAGCTGACTGACTGTAGTAGTATAGGATTTAACAGGAAGGAGCAGCTCACTTGGGTTGGACGATATACGAGTAAGGTGAGCTAGGTATATTTAATGCAATTTACCACAAGAGTAAGGATTATTGGCACGGTGGGTGACTGACGCTAGATAAGGATTGACATTAATTGTAAGGAAAGAGAAGGAGCAGTTCGTCTTTGTTGGAGCAGACGAGTTGAGTTAGTGAGATTTTTGCTACAGGAGTGAGTATTATTTCGAGCATTGGATTTAATTGGTGTGACATTTTGCATTACAATGGTATTTCTATAGATAAGACACTGGCGGTGGAGGTCGTGTCCTGCCCTGTCAGCTTGCATAGCAACGGGTGAGTAATGGCTTATGTCGGCACTGACTCGCTATCATAGAGGTCGGTGATGGACGGAGTAGGATTCAATAATTTACAGGAAGAAAAGAACGAGCAGCTTGCATGGTAGGGCACATGCGCTCCCCGCGTCATGTCATGACAAAGCACCCAAATAACTTCACGAAGCGCAAGGAGCCCCTCTTTCCCGTGTTTCCCTTGTATTTTCTGACCAGATGCAAGGAATGCGTTCTCTTCATTCTCTCAAAGCCAGCAAGATCGACGAGACGGAGCTTGGCCGTTAGCCGATCAATCCCTGCCAAGGAAAGATCGAAGCGTGGTCGATAGCCAATCCCCGCCAAGGTCTACTACTTGCGTCCCATCCCCGGTGGCTGCCCGCTCTCCTTCGGCATCTTCCTGCTTCTCCGAGGTCCCGCCGGTCGCGATCCTCCCTCACCGTCATCCCGTCTAACATCGTCATTGGCGCTGCAGGCACTTCACGCTTTTGCTGGATCGTGATTATGAACATTGCATGCAAGCGACTCCAATTGGAGTGTACAACAGTTCTCGGGGTCGACCGTGACAAGAAGCCTTGCTCCAGATTCATGGCCATGTCATTGAGGTGTTGAACCTCTGCGTCAGTCACATTATCAACTTGGCAAGAGTTATTCTGCCGCCCAGCGAAAGCTTTTCATGCCTGCAGCGCCAATGAAGTTGCGAATGTGGAGACCACGGTCTCTGGGATCGTTATGGACGGCTTCTGTGGAGGGGCATCGGCATCCTGACCATTACCATAATTCCCGTTTGCTCCGTTGATCAGGGCAGGTGGGCTGCTATCGAGCACATAGCGGATTTGTTTTTTGTGAAACTGTATACAGGACACTTTCATCGTAAACTCTGATTTGTCTTGGTGCGCATCCCCTTTTTGAAAAATCATCGGCAATGACTCTGCATAACCTTTAGTAATCGCATCTACGGATTGTCCCTGAGTTTCTCTCCTACGGTGCTCTTGCTTGGACGTAAGTACATGCTGGCAGTGTGAGAGGTGGCTACCGTTTTCGCCCAAATACAACGGACGGTCTTTATAACTGTATTTGGGCCACATGTCGGTCTAGATGCAGCGAATGACGGTATGTTCTATTCGGGGGAAGTCGGTAGTTGTGTCTTGTTTCTCATGTTCCTCGTATATTTTCTCTTTTTTTTTTGGTGTGTGAAAGCCCTTTTGCCAGGGCTCTCGTAGACGTGCGAGGTGGCCTACTGTTCTCGCCCAAATACAACGGACGGTCTTTATAGCTGTATTTGGGCCAAATTTCGGTCTAGATGCGGCGAATGACGGTACGTTCTATTCGGGGGAAGTCGGTAGTTGTGTCTTGTTTCTCATGTTCCTCGTTTATTTTCTTTTTTTTGTTGGTGTGTGAAAGCCCTTTTGCCAGGGCTCTCGTAGACGTGCGGTTGTTCCCATCTCTCGTCAATCAGAGTCGTGGAGCTTGTGTCTTTTTTTTTTTTTTTTTTTTTGAACCATAAACAGAGGTCAAATTCTGTCGACCGAAAAAAGAGGTCAAATTCTGTGGGCGAAAAAAAGAGGTCAAATTCTGTGGACAATTATACCTGCCTGTGCGTGCGCGGCTGGATGTGTGTAAAATGTTTTGAAGTGACTTTTCAGAGTTACTTTTTACATTTTTACTTTTTATATTTTTTATAAATAATGTGCGCAGGTTGTTTGAGAGGTTGGATTCAGAGTTCCAAAGGGGTCCTTCAGAACATCCCTCCTAGAGTCACGTAGACCATGCTTCTTGTTTCTCCTTTATTATCGATGTGGAAGTATTTGCTATTTGCCTGACGATGATTGTTTGGTACTGGAAGCACTTTTTTAAAACAATTTGGACCATTTCTCGATTTATGCGTGTCATCCTTGCGCAGGGACCATGCTAATCTTCTCTGTATCGTTCCAATTTTAACGGATGTCACGAAGGACGAAGCACTAGTGATTGACGTAGGAGGTAGTATTATGGACAGATAGAAATGATTTATTCGTTTGTGGGACATGGGAATAAGTTCGGACATAGGAAAAGTTTTCTTCGGGATTAGTCATGAAAACTCCCCGCGACGAAACCTTTGAATCCATTTCCCCCCAAAAGGGGAAAAAAATTCGCCGGAGGCCCCAAAATGACTTTCGGCGTCATTTTTGCACTCTGTAAAACACTTGTATTGACGTAGGTGGTAGTAGTATGGACAGAGGTTTCGTTGCAGCTTCCAAGTTTGGCAGCAAAAATGTTTCGTTGCCCTACGCCCTCTAATGATGTTCAGAGGTGCGGCCCCAAAAATATTGCTGTTTCGAAGTTTGGCAGCAAAAATGTCGTCCGTTCGAAGTTTCGTTTGCAAAAATAGAGATTTCGTTGCGGCTTTATAGCGTTCCCATAGTTTGCCAGCAAAAATACCGTGTTTTGCCAAGTTTCACAGCAGGATCTTTAGGCCTCTGGCCTCAGGAACTCAGGGACTCAGCGTTCTGGCCTGAGGCACTCAGCGTTTTGTTTGTTTGTTTGTTTTTTCCCGCATGGCCGACGCATCTAGGCGTGCCCACGGCCGAGATGCC